AACAGTCCATTCATGCTCGAAAACCCTCCAATGTGGCTGAATTAAAACAATTCTGCAAAGAAGAGTGCGCCAAAATTCCTCCACAGCGATGTGAACGACTCATTGCCAGTTATAGCAAACACTTGATTGCATTTGTTGCTGCAAAGGGTGGCACAACCAGTTATTAGATTTAGGGGGCAATTACTTTTTCATGTAGGCCAGGCAGGTTTGGACAGCTTTTTTCCCTTAATAAATGAAATACTCGGGTTATCTTTGTGTAATATTAAAATTTGTTTGATGATCTGAATCTTTTAAGTGACAAATATGCAAAAAGAAGAACAGGAAGGGGGCAAAAACTTTTCACGGCACTGTGTGTGTATATATATATATATAGAGAGAGAGAGAGAGAGAGAGAGATTTATAAAATCATAAAATGTCAAATAAATACATAATTGCTAATTAGTAATAATAATAATAATATCGTTTATTTATTTAAATATTAAATATTTTATATTTTCACCTGCATGCCATTTGTACATTTATTAAAATCAGAGAACCATAAATATGTCAATGTGATGTTCAATTATTAAAATATAAGCTTTTAAATCCCAGTTGCAAAAAAACTTACTTAAATTACTGTACAACAATCTTTAGTAATAGTTAGATTTTCTCAAAAGGAAAGTACACCCAAAAAGTGAAATAGCATGTGTGATTGATTATGATAATAATAGTGAGGCTTGCTTTAGCAAATAAACTATTGAAACGATGCAAATGCAAAGCAATACTGCCCTGTAAGCACATAAATCTGTGCAAACCTTATCTCTTTGTCAAAAGAAGTTTTCACGTCTGCTGTTGTCAAAACATTTTGCCATATAGGATGTGCGGTTGCCCCGTCTGGAAGCACCTCTGTTTCCCTTTCCAATCTGACAACAGCTCTTGTGTGCGCGCCAGCCACTGTAATGTCACGGCTCTCACCGCGGAGACTGACAGCGACCGGTTGCCATTGCAAATCAAGAGATAGCACACAATACAAGCACTGTGTCATCACATTCCTGCCCCATAATATCTGTCAGGGCTTGCTTAACTGAATCTATTATCTGGCACGGCCAAGGAACGGTTGCAGACGGGGTTTGGTGTGGTAACATTTCCTTTGAATTCTCTCTCTCCCGCTCTCCATTCTGTGCAGGCAACAAACAAGTAATCCCCCTTTTAAGGACCTCTGAGCGTATCGCTGCAGCCTTGAAGGAAGCATGCAACAGCACACAGATGCTTGACAACAAGAGAAGGATAGAAAGGCTGGTGCACAGGCCTAGGTATGCAAAAGCAAATAAATTGTTTGTATATTTTCCTAATTTTCTTTTTCCCAAGAGCTAGAATCAAACTTGCACTATCATTTGTCTGCATACACCACTTGTTTTCATAATTTGTTATTTAATGTCATAATTGTTATAATAATTATAATAATTGTTTTAATAATGTTGTAATATTTGTTATCTAAATCAATGGCATAGCATTTCTTTTTTTTCTGTCTTAATCAATAAAAAACAAACCAAAAATGCATTAATTTTGGTATTTTAACTTTGGCTTAATGCTTATCAATGTTTTACAGTCACATTTGTGTCTGTTAAATTGTATGGTTCAACCAACAGGCAGAAACAACAACAACAAAAAACAACAGAAAAAAAACACAAAACCTACATGCAGAAATATAAAAACACAAAACAAAACAAAAGCACAAAACAATATGCAGAGATATAAATAAATAAAAAAGAAACAAAACAACAACAAAAAACACAACACCAACATGCATAACTATAAACAAAATGAATAAATAAATAAAAATAAAACCAACTTGCAGAAATACAAACAAAACGCGAAACCAACATGCAGAAATATAAACACAAAATAAAATTAAACAAAACAAAAATTACAAGCATCAAATTAAATGCATAAATAAAACACAAAACACAAATGACAAAACTAGCATGCAGAAATATAAACAAAACACAAAGTGAAATTAAACTAACCAAAAAAAAACACACAAAATAAACAACACAACAAAACAATAATAATAATAGTAATAATAATAATAAAAAACCCACAAACACAACAAAACAAGACACAAAACATGCACAAAAAAATACATAAAACAGAAAAAAAAAAGTAAAACAAGCAATGATATCCTAGAGTACCCATGGAGACCCCAATAGCCATGTGTTAAAAACCAATTAGTCAGTTGAATTATAAAATACCATGTGATGCAACTTCCCAAAAACTTGATTTACAGAAATTATGTTTGAAATTTGGAGAAAAAAAAAACTTTTCCAGTGTTATATTTTTACTTGGTGGTTATACATATTATTATTATTATTATTATTATTACATTAAAACATTAAGTGTATTACATTTAAAAAGTGTATGAATGCCTGGAGGCCATTTCACATTTTAAAATGTTTATAACATACCCCCTTGTTACTAGGGTTAAGCATATGAAGACTGTAAAACCACATATTGCATAGATAAACAATAAAAACGTAAGTAATAAAACATCAAGGCCAATATATCTGCAGTTATGCCTGACCATGAAGATCCTCCATTTTGTAAAGTCCAGATCAGTCTGAACAGCACATGAACTCCACATACTTTCTCACAGTCCGTATCTGCAAGGCAGGTGTCCTGACCTGTAAAGATCAAAGCTTTCCCCACGCAAATACAGGCCAGAATGTTTTATAGAGGAGGAGGACAGTCTTCAAAATCCTCAGGCTTTTCAATTAAGCAAGAATTTGTGGCACCAACATGTCTGAGAAAGGACAACATTTGACAACTGAAACTGAACATGTCGATACACAACGGCCGTAAAGAAATCAGACAGCAAACGCAGGTATTTCTTAAATAATTTAATTGCAAAAGGGCTGCTTTTAAAAAATATTTCTACAAGAATGCATTATTTAATCGCTGTTTTTTGTCTTCACCATTAAATACATCTCAATGCTTTCCAAAACAAAAAGAACAAGAAAAAAAAGTCTTGAAATGTATCTTGCTTCTCTCAATACAAGTACAGCACTCAGCAGACATTTCGCTTTTGCACGTCAGTGATTTGTGATGTGATGAGAAAACTTTTTTTTTTGCTTGATTCTTACTATAAAAAGAGTAACTTCAAAACTCAGGAAAACTATCACAGAGAGGAGTGGAGGAAAGAGAAAGAGAGAGTCCGAGATGGAGAGCGACCATTGGCACAGAGTTATTGAACCAAAATCATGCAAGTTGATGTTCCGAAACTGCTTCGCTTTAAAAACAATGACAATAGCACCAAATACAGTCATACGTACAAACATTCACACACTCAAATCCAGTTATGAGAGAATATACCATCAGACATGTTGAATGTGACAAAAGCAGCTACGTTTAGTTCCCGAACGACTCTGTAAGTTAGGAACTTTAAGGAGCATGGTTCATATACATCAAGATCTGTCATTTAAGAAAAAGGATAAATCGCTTTAGCGTGTTATATATTACATGGAGCTCTTGTAATTGTCAAATTAGGAATGAAACAAAACCACAAACAGTGGTACTGTGTAGTGAGTACTGTGCAGAATATATGCAGTACCGTTTCCCATAGTGCAGTATATAAGCACTGAAACTAGTCTAGATACAGAGTTTGGTTAAAAGAACATCCTGTACTGGCTTCTTAACCCATCAAACATGCTACTGTTTTGCATATTTTACGTCTTTCTTGTTTGGCGAGGGGAAAACCAATCAGAGCAGACCGGAACAGAACCCATTCAAGAACTGAAGGCAAATAATCATGGGTCGTCATCTGTTTCTGCCAGGCTGTAAACATTTGCCTGCAAGATCAGCCTAGTGTTAATCAGACTGGCAGGCCCTGATGACGGGCCCAAGCACATGGAGTCTGCGGTGCAGTGTTTAATCAAGCCTACGCGCAAGAAAAAGAGGTGAAGGATAAAAAATGTGGAAGACAACCCAACAGTTTCAGGACGTACAACGTATCCTGCCTACCGCATAGCATTATCGTGAATTACTATTGTGGTTCAAGATCTAATTTGGAAAACACCCCCAGAAATCCTGTAATTCCAAAATATGATTGCGAGAAATGAACAAAAATGCTTGGTGAGTGAGCTTTACAATTGGTACTAACAGTTTCTCTTTGTGGTGGTGACGGAAAAGCTTAGCTATAATATTGAAAAGATTTACTAGGGATCTGCCCAACATTGATGAGATGTTCAACACTTCTATTCATTTCTCTCAAACCAATTTCAATACACTTCCTCTGCATTTTCTTTTTTTCATCATGACGGCATTCCAAACATCTCTTTACCATCCTTTTCGAATGTCAGCATTCGAATTTATATCAGATCTTTAAATAAATGAATCGTTCCTTTTGGCCTCTAGGGAGATGTTAAAATAAAAAAAATAAATAAAAAAAAAATAAACAGTAAATTATCTCTCCACATAATATTATTGATTCACATATAATTGGAGCTCCTTGTCACAAATCTTTTCATGCATTGGTGCTCCACTGGGGAACACAACTGAAACGTTCATGTACAGAGTGTGTGCATAATCCTTATACTCTCCCTTTGCTTTATACACATACACACACAGAAGCACACACACTAAAACATAGTCATACTGACATTACACACACTCACTCACTCATTGCAGAGATAGCCAGTGATTTTTACACTGAAAAAAAAATAAAATAAATAAATATATATATATATATATACACAAAATATGTTATAATTCAAGTTATGTGTACTATTAGAGGAGTATCTCTTCCATAAGCAATGTCCATCCGGGAGAGTCCGTCCCTCAGAGTCAGTTTCAGGGAGAAATGCATTATGGGAGGCTTCCCAGCCAGCCTCACGAAAGAAAATACCACACGCACGCATGCAATCGCCAATCCCACACCGGAGCCTCGTGAGGCATGCATGGGAAACAGGCTTTCCTCTCCGTTCTTACAAAACAAAGACGAGCAATCCAACAAATGAATCGGACACTCACTCTGCAGTCATCTGGGCCACCAAGTCAAAAGAAGCAAAGCCAGCATTAAGGAAGTTGTCTCGGTAGCGGCTCATCTTGATGGCGTCCAGCCAGTCGCCCACAGTGGTGAAGGTGGTGTAGTCAGGCACACAGCGGTCGAGGAGCGGCTGGGAGGCCCTACAGAGAAAGAGAGGAGCGGAGATAAAAAGAGAGAGAGAGAGAGAGAGAGAGAGAGAGAGAGAAGGTTAGGTCACGCCAGGCCTCCACCACCGAAACCTCACCCCCAAACCCCCCACCACCACCTCTCCTGGCCTGTAGGGCCTGAACCTGCCACTGTGGCTTACTGGCTGGAGACGTGCAGGGGCCCACCAGAGAGAACTGCAATGATGCTGTGGGTGTGGGTCCGCATGAAGCAGAAAATGTCTGGACTTAAGATGTATCGATACTTGGCATGCTCCAATTCTACATTAATTCTACAAAAATCACTTGCTTATGCATGACTTGATTTATCCAAGTAGGTTGACCACCTTCTTTATTGGTCCAAAATAAACATTTCTTTTAGTTAAATCACGTAACACGTACACCCAAAAAGATCCTTCTTGCACTATAGCGCAACTAAATTTAATGTCATCCATAAAATCAGCCAACTTAAATTAGATCAGACAAAACCAACAGAGACCAGACTTGATCTATGAGTAGATTGGGGTCTTAATAACTAACAGTAAGGTCTGGGCAGTGGGGATAGCGAGGTAAAGTTTTAGAGCAAAGACACTTCTGTCTGCAAGCTTTCTGCTCTGCTGAACCTAGCTGTCTTTTGATGGCATTAGATTAATTAACAATTAAAAGCATAAGAAAAAAGTTAATAAGAAAGGAACAGAGATTCTATTGAGGACAAGGTCTGTAGATGGATGGGAAGAGTTATTTTTTAATAAGCTCTTGCCTTTAGGGCTGAAGGGTTTGTGGTCATTAACCTGGAAGGCAGCTTTTCTTAATGGGGCATTGTTAGAGCTGGTCTGGCTCTCACATCTTAGGGACGTTGACTTTAAGTGCGAGACAGGGAAACTGTATGAGGAAACTAAAAGAACAAATGCATAACTAAACTACCCTTAACTCAGCATTGAGCGCAACTATTAACTAATTAAACTCTCCATAGTTTAGTTAAGGAATTGATCACTGAAGATAGTACACAGAGCATCAAATGTTGCAACAACAGGAGCCCCATCTCTCAGTCTTTCATTAGACTCAGCAGGCAGGCCACCTCTCCATTGACCCTTTTACAATCTCGTTACTTGCTAATTAAAACCATTCCCATCTCTGAATTACATTAACTAATGATTGTTCCTTTATCCTCTGATCATTGCAGAGTAGACAAAGTATCTCCCACTGTTTCCTGGTTGTTAGAGGCCCTCCCACAGGACCTAGAGCCGAAAGGCAGGCACCCCGAGGTGGGTCAAAATATTCCTGAAGCTTTTGGCAAACAATTACAGTGTATCTAACTAAAACAATCAAATATGTGCAAAAATGCTGATCAATGAGCACAATTCTGATATATAGTGACTTCATCTGGAAGGCAGCTGATGTAATTAAATATCTCAAACAAAAAAAGGCTCTAGTAAGTGTAGACCAGAACAAGCATCTCAGGCAAAACAATCGATAGCCCTGTGATGGTGCAATTAAACCGAATGTTTTATTGACTGAAGGTCATCTTAATTTCCATAACGTCAGAGTTCCTCAGCTTACAATATTGTTTGTCAATTGAAAATGATCTGGAATCAATAGGCTCTTAATTCAAATGCCTCTGTAACTTTGGCCTAATTCTGAACCTAAATGAGTGAACATGTTTTTTTATTGGTTAGTTGATGGGATGCAAACATGTTAACTAACACGCTAATATGTCCATATATGCCCTTACCCAGAATGTGTGCTGGTGACCACCTTAAGGCTGGCGGCATTGCGAATAAGTTTGTCCAAGGTATTGACGATCTGGGAGAACTTGGGTCTCAAGTTTCTTTCTTTCACCCAGCAGTCTAGCATGAGTTGATGCAAGGCAGTGGGGCAGTCCATAGGTGGGGGCAGTCGGTAGTCCTGCTCGACTGCATTGATCACCTGTTGATGAAAAAAATAATTATTGTTTGGTGTTAGTTTACCCTCAAAATAAGTTGAACAGAGGTAAAGTAGAGAGGAAACTTACATCTTGGTTGCTCATGTCCCAGTATGGGCGCTCGCCATACGACATCACCTCCCACATCACAATGCCGTAGCTCCAGACGTCACTAGCTGAGGTGAACTTCCTATAAGCAATAGCCTCTGGTGCTGTCCAACGAATAGGGATCTTTCCTCCCTACAGATGCAAGAGCATACAATGTTTTTTAAATCTCAAATGGGAGCTGGTCATTGTTATATAAATATTAAAGGATCAAGACTTGAATGCTGACCAATGAGCTGGTGTAGGTGGGGTCGGTGGGATCATCCTCCAAGAAACGAGAAAGGCCAAAATCGGACACCTTACACACCAGGTTGCTGTTGACCAGAATGTTACGGGCAGCCAAATCACGGTGCACGTAGTTCATGTCGGATAGATATTTCATGCCAGCTGCAATGCCTCTCAACATACCAACGAGCTGGATGACTGTGAACTGTCCATCATTTAGCTGTTGGAGAGAGTGGGAAAAATCACAGACCCATTCATAACAGAAATGTCCACTGTCTAAGTGTTTTTAACTTTCCAGGATGTGACTCATCAGCCAGATGATTCATCTCTCAAAGTCACAGCTAGCATCTACGCTATTTGTCATCGCTGTTTAGAAAGTTTAGGATGTTTTTCAAGGGGACAGGTGAGAACATCTCTTTTTAGAAAGAACATCTTTTTTAGAAAACTAATGGGGGGGGGCTAAAACTTATGCTAGACTTCAACATTGATGGTATTTGTTTCATGAAGTAGATCACTTTAAGTCAGTGGTCTCAAACTCCAATGCCTGGAGGGCCACAGCTCTGCAGAGTTTAGCTCCAACCAGCTCCATCTCACACCTGCTTGGAAGTTTCTAGTGATCCTGAAGACCTTGATTATCTGGATCAAGTGTGTTTTATTAGGGTTGGAGCAAAACTGTGCAGAGCTGTGGCCCTCCAGGAATTGAGTTTGAGACCAGTGCTTTAAGTATTACTTGCATTTCCATACATATCCCACAACAGGAATTTAGGCATCAAACTAAAAAAAAACAAAAAAACATTAAGAATTAATTGTATAGTGGTAAGCATCTCTAACCCGGAGAAAGGAATCCAGCGCTCCATTCTCCATGAATTCAGTGACAATCATGACTGGCCGACTCTTCGTCACCACCCCTTCCAGGCGGATAATATTAGGATGATCGAACTGGCCCATGATGCTGGCCTCACTCAGGAAGTCTCTTCTTTGGCGCTCCGTGTAGCCTGCCTTCAGAGTCTTAATGGCCACAATGATCTCACGCCGTCCAGGGAGTTTCAAACGGCCACGGCACACCTCTCCAAACTCTCCTACATAGGTAGTAGACAGACGAGAGAGAGGAAGAAAGGGTGGAGAGAGGAGAGGGAAGAGTGGAGGAGTGTGGGAGAGAAAGGGGAGAGGGACAGTTACTGGTTAGAATCAAGGAGCCAGGGGGAAGCGGGGGGAGACAGCAAGAGAAGCCAGGGCTAAAGGTGATGCTATTGGAGTGTATCCAGGGGGCGAGGAAAGGGGTAGGGTGAGATCAGCAATGCTTCAATGGGAAAAGGTCTTGGAGGGTTGTTGGGGGTTGGGGTACCAAAGAGGAAATGGGAAAAGTAAGGCAACAGAGGAAGGGGTAAAGGGTACAATCAGAGAATGCTAGGGTCTGGAGGGAGTGAGGGTAGAAATGTGGGACGTAGGTGGAGACAGAAGCTTGGGAGGATTGGACGGCTTGCGTCTGCAGTCTAGGCCAATGTGTAAGCAAGTTCAAGAGAAACAAAGGGGTCAGGGGAGGACATGGTAGGGGTTCATCACTTTAGACAAAGCTAGGAAACAACAGGTTCAGGTAGCAGCGTTAGATGTTAAAAGCCTTGTTTGTTGGAGTCTGAGATGGGGCTCTTCAACTCATTACAACATGGCTACAAGTCATACTGTACCAGAATCCTACTTATTTTTCTTTTTGGCTTTTAGAAGCTAAACTGCTAATGTTAAGATGTAGGACATTTACAAAAACAAAGGGGAGTGGTCTCAAGGGCAGGTAGAAGCACCATGGACGGAGAAGTTAACAGGTCACAGGGTCAAGAGGACATTTAATTGTCCGATAGGTATCATCAGGCTCAGGGCAGGCTTGGTAAGTTAGCAGGAATGGTAGCTCTATAGTTAGCTCTGAAGATAACCTCAGAAGCTCCATTTTGTAAGTAAAGCTGTTAGAGACGTTGGCAAGGTGCTAAGGTTTTGGATTTTGGAGCGGGATGAGTTGATTGAAATACCGCTTGGTGTGAAGTCCTCTAAAGGTATGGCCTGGGTGTGCCTAGCTGTCTTCCCCCTGTTGCTCAGGAGCTTGTGTTGTTGGTTACCTGCGCCAATGACTTCCTCGATTTTCACACAGGAAACATCAATCTCTTTGGCAAACTCGCGGATGGCCTCATTCGGGTCCTCGTAGGTGAATGGGTCAATGTAGACCTTCATCCCCGGAGTGACTATAGGGGATTCAATAGTGCGAATAGCCATATGAATCACACTGTTATAATACACAATATTTATAGCACTGTTAGTCATCAGATGGAAAGTAAACTCTGTAGAGACTTACTGTATTGTTGCAGTTTTTCTGTGTACTCTGATTCTGAGCCATTGCGTTGCTTCCTGTGAACCAAAGACAATACAGTCAGTTACAAAAGGTTGATGATCTTAATGTAGGAAAATATGCATTTTGAAAAGGACCTGTTTTTTCCCTGCCAGCTCCTTTAGGCATATAAATTGAGGTCGATTAAAGAACGAGAATAATTTGAAAATTAGGAGAACAACAGAATCAGCCTCAAGAGACCCTTGTCACTTTATGACGGAAGTCAAATCTGCATAAAGACAGCTAAGAACAACAGTAGCAGCATTGGTTGTCTTGCTTAGGTTAAATAATAAGGGATCTTTACTGCCACATTGTTTAATACTCTCCTGTCTCTTAATTCCTTCCTCCACACTTTTTCCACTATCAGTCCATTAAATGCAACGCAATTTCAACAAACCCAACCCCCCTCTAGTACATATTAATGCAATCCCTTTGTTGTCTAACTAGTAACCGGGCCAATAATACCCGCTGGTGATTTGTATCTCATTTCCAATTCAAATTCAGTTCCGGAATATGCCAAGGCCTACATTTTTTCAATCGCAGACAAGTTAAGATACTGAGACACACTGTGCTGATTAGAACAAAAAAGAGTGCAAATTTAGAATTTTTGCTTGATAAGGCTTTAAATACACAGCTGCCTTGCCCTCAACTGTGGAAATGGGAAGGTGGCCACAAGATGGAAAGTGCCAGTGCCAACGATCATCAGGACACTGCGGAATTCCAATGTAGGGCACATGCACATTTGAGACCACTGGCTACAATTTACCAAGTACAAGATCCAAAATAACTGACAACCCAGAATGAATCTGCTTCTCAAACTGCTTTCATTAATTGTCAGATAGGTTCTAAGGAAGCATTATGGGCAACTAAATTGCGTATGCACTCAAAACATTCTGATGTTTCATAGGTATACTTTGACTTCTAATTCTTTATTCTACTCTTTGTGAATGTCATTAAGGTAAGTGAAAAATCGAACCATTTACCTGAGGCAGACAATGGCAATAACCACAACAACAATGATGAAGACCAGCCCTGCTGTCAGAGAACCCACAATGAGAGGTAACTGCTCCTGTAGAGTCTTGTCTGCATCGGCTGTGTGAGAGGCACAAAGAGAGATATCATGGGATGTATTCAAGAGAATCGTATTTCTCAGATCTATTTATAGCTTTTCTTTTTCTATGAGAGGTATTTATACTCTTAGATTCACACAATTGCATGATAGGCTTTGAAAGAAAACTGTTTTTATGTGATAACATAGGCTGTTTTACATACCCTGGTGGTTGGTGCTAAAGTCAGTAGGGCTGCTGTAGCGGCCATACCCTGCCACCGTTCGGGCTCGAACCTGCACAACATACGGTGTGCCCGGCTTCAAACCTTCAATGCGTGCCGAGCTACGCTGGGCTGTCATGGTGTGGGCAATAGCTTCTCCCTGGTCCTGTGGGAACAGTGATAAAACAAGCCATATAAAACCAGCCAGCACCCAAAAGCAAGCGTCTGGCAGCTCTGGTTTAATCTGTCAGTACAACACATCAAACATGAAGCAGATATGCCTGGCCCTTTCTTCTCCTCTATGCAAATCCTCCTGCCTCCATCCCTGCCAAGCTCCTACTGCCTTGCGGTATCAGGGTTCAAAAGAAGGGGATGAATCAAGGAAGGAGTTAGGGACGAGTGTTAGGGTACGAGAGAGAGAGAGAGAGAGAGAGAAAGAGAGAGAGAAAGAGTGGGAGGAAGGGTTGATGCTGTTGTCAGGATGAACGATTATGTATAGAGCAGAGGATGACAGTGGTGGAATTGTGATTGAATGCCCTTCGCTTCATTGACTTACACTGGCTCTTACCTTCTCATGGTATTTAATCTCGTAATCCAAGATTATGCCATTTGGTTTTTCAGGGGGGAGCCAGGAAAGACTCATGGTGTTGGCTGAGGCCCCCATCAGGTGGACGGTAGGAACTGCAGAGGGAGCTGTGTGGGGAAAATGAGAGAAATCCTATTTTAATGAAAGCTGACATTCTATTTTTTTCACATTTAGAGCATGTTCACATTCAGGATTACCAAAGAGCTGCTTTGATGTGTAAGCATTCAGACAGCTCTTAGTCTTGGGCCCTTTCAGGGCCCCAGCCTCTCAACTACACAGACAGATTGGATTCTAAAGTCTCTTGTAAAAAGGACCATGGCAGACAAACAGGAAGGCTTAGTATCTGGCAGATTCAGTCCACACAACCTACACACACATGCAAATATATTTATAACTGCACACACCCTCTGTCCACTCCCTAAGCTCTTTCTTTCCCAAATTACTGTAATGTGAAAAAGATGTATTATTATTTTCATTTTAAAGTATTTATACACCATGTTAGTGTAAATTGTGTTCACTTACACATCTTTATTGTAATAC